CATATGGTACAGTTTCTCCTGTTATGAGTGGAGCACGTGCTTATTTCATTCTGATACCGAACTCGATTAATCATTCTAATTCCCAACTATCTACTCGCTTTTTGCAATTTTTGCCTATTCACCTTTTGTACGCACACTTAATGTCCAAAGGATACATGAGTTCCGATTGGGATTGCTGATCTGGGTTTTGGACACTTCACATTTGCAAGCGATGATAACATAAATCAAGGTTGTGCTAGTTCTATCATGATCATCATCGAGTGCACCCCTCGGGGCCATGAACTCATTCATCTGAAAGAAATTGTCAATAATAATAATAATAATTTTTATCGAGTACTCATTTCAAATGCTTTGAGCAAATCCTAAAAATGCCATGAATCAAATAGCTCAACAGCAGGCTGGATAGAGAGCAGCGAAGAAGCTGTAGGTTGCTGTATGAATGTGAAACCATACTGACTTAGATCGGGTGGATCATTTGGGTGCTCATGTGGATAAGACTGATTGAAACGGAGAAGTTGGCGTATCAGGTGTCACATGGTTTCTGTAATAAACATTCCTTCCAAAAGCTTTGCTATGATAAGAGGCAGTGTTGTGGACCCCATAAAAACCACACGTCAGAGAGCTAGATGAGGAGAGATAAATGTCTGAATATTTGGGAAAGAAAGCGTTCTGTAATTAATTAATTAATTAATTAAAGTTATCGAAGAGACATAGAGCCAGCATGAAAGAGTGCAACAGACACAGGCATATATTGTTTTATCAGGTGTCCAGGACGGAGTGATCATGTGTCATAGCGCGATATTTTATACCTTCTACCATTGTTGTGAAGTACTATTCGCGTTTGTGAGTAGTACGCAAAAGGTTACGACTGGCGGTTTCTTCCAACTGTCAAAAATGAACAAGACCTGTTGGAGCAAATTACTTTGTTCAGTATGGTAACTATAAGAATGTGCATTTACTGTTAGACCGCTCCATCCTGAAGACTCGTTACAAATGACACATTTTGCAGTATGTACGCCATTTTACCGATACCCTCCCTGATCGTTATTTATGATAAATAACTACCCTCACCTAGGCACCGCCTTGTGGAATTATAACACTATGACACAGTAGTATGCCACTCACACGAACCCACTTAAAACATAAAAGACAGCCTTCCATCCGTGGCAAATACATTATTGATGTGGGCAGAACATGGGTGACCGGTCGAGCGTATGACCTCTACTGATGCTGCTCGACTGAATTGATGGAATATTACAAAGAATGTGGCTACTTTGTCGCAGAATCTACCCCTGAGGTAAGAGGTCTGATTGATTCATAAAGAGATGGCGTGCGGTAGGCCGACAAATTGGTGTGTTGGAACATACCGAGCACAGTTGACCCTAACTAACGTCTTAAGCATGTCAAAACGGTCAGAAGGCTTCACAAACAACCTTACTGAAAATACAAATTAGTGGCAAACAAATTCATCAGTCCATCTTCAATTCGGAGACACTTTGTATTGTGCAATGTTTTCTTATACTTCCATACCGCGGAATTTTCTTTGAAATCGGCACACAGCAATAAAATACTAACCGTCAGACGGAAGATATCTTAGAGGGCAAAAGCTTTCAGGCAGCACAGGGATATTCCATAATCCAAAGTTGAGACAAAGTTCACTTGTGTTTGTGAGTAGTCATGCCATGATATGGCATATGTGAATTTCGGTCGACGTTTACACGAGATGACGTTTGAGGGAATTCAAAACGTGTGACCAGAGAAAATATATTGGGGAACATAAAAGTAAGATTGGGAAAACACACTGATGTACAAAAGTAGAAGTAACTGACTAGGATGAGCGAAACTGTCTGAGTTTTCGAATTTGAAATCATGGGCACCGCAGTTTATCAACGCACTTGTGGATGTGGGACGACCAACTAAGATAGTTGTCTTTATTGGCACAAAGGTATTCGACGGTGTTTACCCTAGATAAACGATTATTATGTATCACCGTGGGGTCTGTTGGGAATGAAGAGCGGGCAAGATTTTATAAACATTCAAAACATCTGCTGAGAAGAACAATTAAATTTGTCAGTGAAAGAGCTTAGAGTGGAGGAAGAAGGAATGGATTGATACAGCACGACTTCAGCCGCGTACTTTAAAACACGTGCAAGAGGAACATAAGGAATATCACATATGCACGTGGAAAATAGGTATGCGAATAACACAGTTCCTTCAAGAATTACAGAGTGGTTGACTAAGGGTTTAGATGAAGTCTTTCTAATTCTAGTGGTTTGTGCTCTATCAGCAAGCTTTCCGGACAGTCTAGCTAACAATTGCTTAAGGTATTCAAACGAGTCTACTTTGTGCAACACTTTTGATCGATAAATTGAATCAAAAAGCAATCAAGAAAAAAACACCTTGAAGACTTAACAGAATTAGTCAATGATAGTAATAAAATAGATGAGGATCGCTACTGCGTCTAAAGTGGATCTATTACGCATTTTACTCAAATTTAATGGAGCTAATTTTACTAGTTAGGGACTCAGCACCAAATCTGAAAAGTGACGGAGTCATGCCATCCGCGGTTGCAGCAGAGGACAAAAAGATTCGAGGTTCGAGTCTCGCCCGAAGAAAAAGGATGCAACTGTCCAATGCTGTTTGGTGGCACTCATAAACCATTTAACAATTTTGTTGGGGTTATTGTGCGAAATTTCATCAATAATAGCATGTTCACACTTGTGGGCAGCGGTGGTAACAGTTGCCAGACCTAGTTGTCTCATCCGTAGTAGTCAATAGTCACGAGTTGGAATCACACAATAAATCAGGGATCGGAATTTCCTACAGCTACACCCACGAAAAACGCCGCTAATTCGTGGCTAGTTTATTGATAGAAACCGTTAAACTGAATGAAAACTGTCTACGGGAAAGGACTTTTGGCTCGTAAAGTACTAGCCGATCGGTTTCGTGGTTGTACCATCTTGGTGACCCTGAATGCACCGCGGCTGATTTGATTCATTTACATTGCTGCCCACACTATTGATATTCAGGAATCTGTAACGCTTTCCTCCCGGGTCAGCATTAGCTGGACGTACTGAATAACCACAGACGCTTAGTCCAGATGTTTTTATCACGACAATAATATGAAAACAAATAGAAATATGGTTCACTACTGGAAAACGGGGAACTATTATGTTCGGCCTAGACGTACAATCGACACAGGGTCTCTTGCTCAATCCACAACAACAAGGCGGAAAGAAGAGCACGATTGGAGACATGAGTCCTTGTGACTTTTATGATCAAGGTGTGATACGCAAGTAGAACGTTTAAATTGGGCCTACTAGAGCGACATAGTGACGTACCAACTAGATTGCGCCCTTGACAATCCAATTAGTAGATCGCACAACCGCTGTCTGATTTGTTCCACAGTCATCCACTCGAACTGCCTTGGGCGTCTCGAGCTTGATCGTGGCTTGACGTGGATCCGTGTTTGGCCTGACGGACTGTGATAGCTCCGTCCTAAAAAGGAACTCATCGAATCCATCGAATCAATTTATTGCAAATTATAGCTACCATATTCAACCTACAGATGTCTCAGTACTTAACCTTCAGTCCACAAATGCTCCAACTGATTTGAATCGTGGTTAAAATAAGTTGATTTGCAACTCTGTGGTACCAGTTATCGCTAAGTTGACTATGAATCCACCTCCATGACTGTGAGATGCCATGGAACTGTCAATGAGATAGGCAATAAAATCGTTACAATTGAAGATCTTATCTTCTACGCACTTAAGCAGCTAGTTGTTCCGAAGGAAAGATACTTAGGTTGAGAGTATTCAGAAATTGGAATGATTCCATCGATTTTGACTGGGTATCTAAACGATGATTGAAAACTGAAGATAGCAGAGATAAAGAAGCACATTTATGAGACACGCTCTCCGATTAAATTCGACTATGACCACTTCTTCATTGCTCCCTTCCAAGGATTTTGTGAAATTATTTACGTTAAACTAGCCCTAATCTTAAAAATCAAGAGCAATTTTCGGCATAAGGTTTATGAAATGGGAAAGTTTTCCGCACAACAAAGAGATACAGCTCCATGGGCCAAGTTTTTCTTTCAACGTGGTTGTGGATTTGGTAAAGCGCAGCAAAATATGAAGCAGTGCAAATGATGATTTGTGGTATATTGCATCAATCCGCTGTACAAGGCGGTAGAAAGAATTGCTGAATTCAAAACCTCTTTTTTGAGGTTAAACAGGTTTATAAATTTGTCCAAACTGCCGGATGACTACCACCAAGAATTTGTCGCACAGATATTCGAACAGACCAATCAACCGTGGAAAGTCCAGAGCGGTCTTACATTCAACTGGTTGAATATATCCACCAAGTTTGCTCACAG